CAGAGGGAAAAGATACTGGACAAGTTGACAACATGGCTGGGAACAGCAAGAACGACAGACTCATCACTGCAACGTAAGACAGAGTCAAGTGGAGGTCCGGATGATGATGAATATATAAATATATATAATTTTATTTTACCTCTGGGTAGGAGAGAGGATTGCACCTCATCCTAATGTCAGTCTACCTTGATTGCTTTGATGGCAGGGAAAAGGGAAATGACCCTCACTGACTACCGACATTATTGCTTTGTACTTATTTCTTAGTTGGAATTCAAAGGTGACGTTAGGGTCAACGAATCAGAGATTTTGTAACCCTTTTACTTTTATACCGTGACCTTAAAGGAGGGTATTATTAGGGGTTTTCCCTTAACACCATCCTCACTAATTACATGTACTTATAATCGTCGTAGTCGTGGTCGTCGTCATCATCATCACCATGATCATCATCATCATTGTAAGTAGCAGGGAATAAACAAGGGTTGAGATTTGCAAATTTTTCAAATTTAATACAGGTTCAATGTTTCGCCCAGTAAAGGGCTTCGCCGGGTACATGATACAAAACAATAATGTGAGATCTAATGATTACACGCTATAACAACAAAAGTTCGCGCTTCCACGTCATAATCTCATCACTAGTAGTGCAAATCGTCAAAAGTATTTTTTAAATCCTTTATCTCCTCACACAATCTCTTTTGAGTGACTCTGAACAACCTATTTCTTTACAGTAACTACCATATGTGAGGTGCGCTGACAAAATGAGTTACTTCTCCGATTTTAGCCTTATGGACATTGATACATCAACTTTATAGGTGAAGTTTGTACAATTTGTAAGTATGGAAGAATAAAAGACATGGTAGACTTGAACAAAACGGTATCAATTAGAAATCTATAAATCTGACCGCAGTGTCGATTTTCGGCCGATATCTCCATTCCTGGACAGCGAGAAGTAACTCATTTTGTCAGCACACCTCACATATTTAATTTATACATTTTTAACACAACCTACCAATATTTGTAGTTGCGTCGGTAAGCTAGTGGTCAGGCTGCCGGATTCGTAATCGCGAGATTGCTGGTTCGGGGGGTTCGAGCCTCAGCCCGGCCCAACTCTGTATCCCTGGGAAAGGCACTTTACATGAATTTCCCTATTGGCTCGGTCCTTTCGGAGAAGGACATTAAACTCGGAGGTCCCACCTCTTGAATAAAACCTAATAGTTTTGATTAAGATGTTAAACCTATACAATTGTCACCAAATCAGTACACGGGACATAAAAAAACAGGATCGATGAATTTTCTCTGGGTATCTTTTTCTTTCCCCGCTGACGTGTCTACCACACAGTTTCAGTCTGGGTAGGCCTGACAAGTGTGGTCTGAACAGCCGGCTTCCTAAAGGACTTCCTTAATATAATGAACTAACAGAAAGTGGACATTGGAATATTTAACACAACAGTACAAGTACAAGGACAGTATTTCGTATATTAGGCCAAATCGAAAATATGACCAACAGTCCAGCAGGACAACAGAAAGAAAAGACAGTTTCAATATGATTAATATTATGTCAGGCCTGAGCTAGCCATTGTTATTTTTAACGTAAGTATTTTAACGCCCCCATCTAAGCAACTTAGATTGCCGGGAGGTTGGATTCCGAGAGGGATGCAACATCTCAGCAGAAAGACTGAAATACTCAACACAATTCTTCTCCCCACTCTGGAATCGAAACGAAACAGCGACCGACGCATTCTCTCCTGATGATCCAGGACCAACCCGGGCTGAGACGGACACAACATATTAACAGAAAGACCAAAATACTCATTAAAAATGTGGGTAGTTGGCGGGTGCTCTGGTGTGGTTTGCTTCTTTTTTCCTATCAAACATCTATCGTCCTTATATCCTCTTCTTCTTTTTTTATGTTTGTTACTCTCTTGTAACACCTCTAATCCTCTGGCACTCATATGACCTTATGCAGTTCCGAGCGCCGTAAAACCTCTACTAAAACTAAAACTCATCAAAAATCATCTCCCAACTCTGGGATCAATCTCGAGATGATGTTTCCTGAACGATGATTCAAATTGAGCTACTAAATGTGAGCCCAGTACGTTCTGTAACTTTAATATTACGTTCTTTACTTTTTGAAACGTTGCTGCTGGCCCCTTTTTAAAATCTTTTTTTGTGTGGTAAAAAGTGTTTTACGGCGCTTGCAAATGTATACGGTCATTATTTTGAGCACGTGGGGCACAATAAACATTTTCGGTCTGGTAGGAATTGATTTTGAATTTTGCCCGGATGGCGGCAAAAGCATTGTCTTATCGATTTTGGATCACTACGGGATCTTTAACGTACACAACTTGCACACGGGACCTCCGAGATTTTTCGCCTTTTTCCGAGAAGGCTAGATGTTAGATATTAACTACCTTAAGATCAGGGGTGTGGCTGAAGGACAGCAGTAAGAAGGAGCCAAGTAGTAGCAGTAAAAAGGTTGTAGAAAGAGTCAGGAGCCCAGAGGAGGGATACAACATCCCAGAAGAAAAACTGAGATATTTGATAAAATTACCCCCCCCCCTCCTCAACACACACACACAAGCATGCACACACACACACACACACACACACACACACACACACACACACACACACACTAGAATTGAACTCTAATTCTTCTGCGTGTGACAGTAAAGGGCCTTGTGCTACAACACAGACTCGGTCCAATAGGTGTGTAAAACATTACCATTGAAATAAAGAGAACCCGAAAACGGATGCTACAGAAATATTCTTGTCGGTCTGTGGGTTCATTAACGAAGATTTTACAGCTGCTGCTCTAACGTATGGATGTACGTGATGTTCATTTTATCTAGGTCACCTTGAGCCAAATACGAACCATTCTTTTCTCGTAAAAATGTTAGAGTCAAGAAAGGCGTTTTTATTCAATTGAGAAAACGGGTGTGGAAAGCACAAACATTTCTTACATTTCTGGCCTCCTGGGGTCTTTGTTGAGGCGACCACCTAAAAAAATGATACGAACCATTTCTGACTTTTCGAAAACATT